TTCTAACCTTCAAAAACTAGAAAATGAAAAGAGCAACAATATACTCAGAAGACAGATGTTTGTTAACATCATTTAGGCTAAACTGAAATATTATCTATCATAAGATGTACTAATACAATTGTTTTGTGTTTTTCCACTATCTAAGCTATGGTCTATGGAGCTGATATTGGAAACCACTGCCTTTTAAATTTGAGTATCCTCTACTTCAAAGGTTTTCATAAATTAGAAAATGTAAAATTTATAGGATGAAATTATAGAACAACAGCAATGCTATAATTCTAAGCGATTTATTTCAGAAACAAGTGCATATAACCCCTTGGGAAACTAAAAGTCAGTATTACTTCCTCTTGGAAGAAAAGAATGTCAGAAAATAGAGATAATATGCTTTCTTTTATAAGATTTTAACATTGATGTTAAAATCTTGTAGTAGAAAGTATTGACACTTGAGGAAACTTAATTCTTTATATGCCCTAAACAATATGACACACCCATGCCCTGCCCATATCTCAAAACTCCACAATCCCCCCTGGGTGCAGAGACATATAGAAAAACATCTATGTTATGCACTTGTCATACTCTACAGACTGGCCAATCGCATGAGCAGCTCTTCTTTCACAACTTCTTTCTTCTAAATTTTTATCATAAAATCCGTGTTTAAACAAGAATATCTCTTTAGGTACCTTGTCAATATGTTGCTAAAGGAAATGAAATTGAATTCATATCGGAACGAACCGTTGTTCCATGTTTCATGCATGATACAACAACGTGAACGTCCATACATGTAAACGAATAAGACACTTTTTCAAGGAATTAATACTGTTCTCTGAATTTACTCACCTGAAAGGCAACAATTCGACAATTTTCTTATATCCGAATCGTTTTCAAAGTGATCAGACTGTGATCAGTTAGTTAGTTGATCAGCTACATTTTTGAATTGCCTCGATTTCATTTTTTTCGATCCATATGATGTGGTTGTGTTGAGTTTTATTACTTTTTTCTATGCTCAGGAGGGGCGGATTTAAGCAACAATGATTGGGGGCTGTTAGACACTCATTTTGATGCCACATCCTTCAGTTCACTGGTAAGTGATGGAAATGCCCATTTTTAAAACTTAGTTTTAACTTTAAGGTAAAGACGATAAGAAGCAGTGACGTAGGAAGGGTTGGCAAAAAGGAATTTTTTTTTGCTGACCAGACCCCTAAGAATTTGGGAAAACACCCATTTGGTAAATGCATTTGGAAAAGCTATGGCATTTTTACGTGGCTGAACCTATTCTGCAACTGTCTATTTCCTTCACAATTCTTCTATGTGGTTTAAATATAACGCAATCATTTTGAATGGATGGCAGGGCCTTTTTGTACTGTTAACAATACGCGGGTTGACAGCAAAGAAACAACTTGTAATGGCCTGTTCAATCTGATTAAAGATCAAGATTAAAGATTCAAAGGATTGCGTTGCTACCACCCAAAAAGTTCCGTTATCTTACGTGCCAGTGTGATTCTAGCTACGTAGGATGCACCACCCAAAGATAGAAGGATAATAAAACAGCATGTCCCTTCCAGCATTAGAAATAAAACTTCCCCCAAAGAGAACAGCCTCCTCCGTCTTTCAGATCAAAAACAACTAGTAAAACATGTGATTCCGCTATCGGGCAGCTTTTACCCAGATTGGCGACATGTTTCGGATTATGGGCAAAGCCCGATCGCCGTTCCATCTAGCAGTTTTGGAATCTATATACACTAAAAAAACACGAAAAAATCGCTTTTGAGTAGACAGAAGGAGTTCGTTTTCACCTGAGGTAACATCTTCAATAGGCAAGCGGCACTGATTGGGCAACCTTAACTGTCACGTGCTCGCGTTTCTGATTGGCCTTTTTCGATCCACAACTGGGTATGTATTTCCTATCGTTGAGTTTTTGGTCTATGTTCTGACGTTTCATACCCTGAAGAGTGTCAGATGAAAAGCTGCAGTAAACTCAAATGTTTGCTTTTTTCAAAGCCATTCTAAATTATAAGAGCTTAAACAGCCAAATCTAAACGAAGATTCTGCAATTACTCAAATTGCGACCAGTGTTGAGCAGAGAAGGGTCAGGGGGGTCACTGACCCAGGGGCCCATGACTTTAGGGCCCCATAGATAATAACTTTGTAAGCAGTGCAGTTGATAAACAATTAATAATTAGCAATTCAGTGTCTCCATTATCAATAATAGAAAAATTAATAGGAAAAACCTTTAAATAAAATAAGGTAGAAGCAGCAACAGTATTAATACCCCCATTATGTTTGTCAAACAGAGCTAGTAGCTTTAGGTAATTTTCTAGTTAGTTAACAAAACAATTTCCAAGTCTTTGCATCTGTAAAAGGGTCAATTATGGGGCTTTAGTAAAGTTTTTTCGGAAATTTAAGTTGCTTTGGACAATTTGAACGACATTTCAGCTGATGCAACACTAGCAGGCAAAGTCAGAAACAACCTTAATGCAATGAAAATATTGGAAAATAAACGTTGCAAATTCAAAGGCTAAAGCTTGCTCAACAGCTGCATTGGTTGATGCTCCTTAGAAAAAGTGACTACCCGGTGATGTTAGGAGATATGCCATCCTTTTTTGCTAGGTCATCTTCCTTCAACCTTGTGTATAATCAAAGAATACTGAACCCCTCCCATATCTCGCCAATTGACATGAATCGCCTAATTATCTTAGCAATAACATCAATAATAATAATTCCGACATTAAAGAATTGCATATTTTATAGCTAAGAAATATGCAATTCTGACGATAGTGTACCAGTCATACTTTAACTATATTGAAAAGACTAGAGAAGTAATAGCCATCATCGCAATTTCAGCAACCAAAGTAGCCGCAATTTTAGCAACAGCCGTCTGAAAAAGTTTCCCCAGACCTCTTTAAAGGGTCGCTTCCGGTGTGCCTTGCTTTTTTCTTTTGTTTTGACCCAGGGCCTACAAATCCTCTCCGCGGCCCTGACTACGACTGCCAGTATTCGTATGCAAAACGTACTAAAAATAAATAACTTCACTACACGTAACAAAGGTCCACAAAATTCAATGATATCAAGTCAAAATACGGTTCAATTATTATTAAAACGACCATTAGTATATTGAAAAAAGTTCCCGTGTGCATTGCTATGAGTGCTCAGCTGCATTTCCAAACGAAAACGCTGAAAAGAAAAAGAAAAAGCTAGTAGTAAGTGAGCAATGATATAATAACCTTACATGCATACAGAAACAGTTCAACCAAAAATAGGCCTTTCAAAGTAACCTGCATCACACTGCTCATTAAAATTTAAAAAAAATGTAAAAGCAGATTCTGGACAAGGGCAAGTTTTTACAACAGAATAAATGCGTTCGGAATATTCTTGTAACTTATCATATGTCATCAATGTCCAGTTTTCTAATGCGTAATGATAAAGGAGAGATTTTAGATCGTGATAAGAAAAAGGATTATACGCCTTGGTGTAACTATACGCTTTTGTGTTGAGAAATAAAAATTTGAAGGAGCCTCGGCGAACTCCGACTTGAGTTCTTCGAGACTCCTCTTCGCATCGGGGTCACTGTGCTAGCACAGGTTAATTCATGGCTCCTTATTGGCTGTCTCTACCCGCTGCTTCAAAGAAAAACAAAGGATTTTGCAATAGCATTTATAAATAGCGCCAACGTCGCAGCGAATAGAGACAGCCAATCAGGAGCTATTTCTTATTAGAATGAATTAACCTGTGCTAGCACAGTGTGCCTCGATGCGAAGAGGAGGCGAGAGAGAACAGGACGGTTGTATATTGCAAATCCGATTTTCACGCTGAAACCTGATGATCGCATTAAGTTGCCTGATGAACAGTTTCCTGATGAACAGTCGCTTGATGATAACAGTAAGCATGAAACTAGGAGTCGCAAATTAGAACCGTGTTGCTCTTTACACCAAAGCGTGGACAGCTCTTGCTATACGCCATCTTGCCCAGATGACAGACCGGTTTGTTGCTTATATTTATATGCAAAATCACATTACTTATTCACCCGATAGACTACATATATACTTATAGAGCGTTTGATATTCAACAAAAAATGTTTCAGGGCTGCTAGCTGAATTTTTTTTGCTTCTAGAGATAGGGGGTTCTAATCCAAGATATGCGCACGTCAGATAAAAAGGGTATGAACACTGGGTGGCAAATTGCTCGAAAAAAAAACTGGTATCTACTTGATTTTCAAACAAGAAAAACTTAGGTTCAATACAAAAAAGCAGCCCGTTCAAATGGTTCTCTTTTTGTAAAAAACAAATGGCAAACAAGAACATCAGTAGCAACAGAAAAAGATGACAATTCAATAGATTCAATCTAAACATACATTTTGCCTTCGATAAAATATCTGAAAAGTGACAAAATGCCTCTTGACTAAAATGATAATCAAAGATTAGAAAAATGAAGGACTTACCAGCAATCATCACCGCCAGTGCTGTACAAATATTTGTCATCGTGAGAAAAGCGGACTTTAGTCACGTGAGCTGAATGCCCAACGAACTTTTTCCCTTTCATCTAGAGAAGAAGATTGGTTTCAAAACTACCCCAAGAAGCAACTTAGCGAAAAAATTAAGGGAAACAATGGCACTAGTTGTACAAAAAACCTGGTTGTTTAAAGTCCCACAGCAATTCAGACCACCCCAGGGTTTGAATTCGCTTGAAGCTTAACATTTTTAAATAGCAGCGAAGCCATATTTTTAAGCATTATGAAAATGCTGTGGCGTAAACCATTAATCTGAGAAAGCTGCAGTACCCCTGAATGACAGAGCTGACAAAATGCATGGCAAAAGATGCTGTGATCAAATCATGTGAAAAAAAATCAAATGGCGCTTGGATTGGAGGTAGAAGCATTTAAGTGGATTTACACAGCATATTGAAAAAAGGAATATTTTGTAAGTTTAAAGTTCATTGTCTTCCTCAGATTTCTGCAGCATGGATGGTGCATCGGTGGTCGTTGAGTTTTCATATGGTACACTTGTTAAGATACAAATTATAATTCAAACGTTTTTATCATGAAACGCATACCGATTTGTCGAAGCAAGGGAAGCTGTAGAGCTTGACATAACCATAGTCATCTCCAGTTGCCAATGTTGATCCATGGTGGGAAAGATCAGTGCAGTTTATATCCCCTTTATCCGCATTTTTGGGCCAAATTCCAAGAACTTCTTTACCGAGCATACTAAAATGGAACATGGACATAATATTTCTTATGATTAAAGTGTTTTATTGAATATGAATCGAAAACAAGAAGCAGCCATCCAATTTTGTCCTTCATATATCTGTATATGAATCACTAGAGATATTGAGTGAGTGGTTAGTAACCAAGTATGTAAGTAAGTAAGTAAGTAAGTAAGTAAGTAAGTAAGTAAGTAAGTAAGTAAGTAAGTAAGTAAGTAAGTAAGTAAGTAAGTAAGTAAGAAAGTAAGTAAGTAAGTAAGTAAGTAAGTAGGTAAGTAAGTAAGTAAGTAAGTAAGTAAGTAAGTAAGTAAGTAAGTAAGTAAGTAAGTAAGTAAGTAAGTAAGTAAGTAAGTAAGTAATTAAGTCAGTTTACTTGGTTAGTTGGTTAGTTGGTTAGTTGGTTAGTTGGTTAGTTGGTTAGTTGGTTAGTTGGTTTATTTGGTTGGTTGGTTAGTTAGTTAGTTAGTTAGTTAGTTAGTTAGTTAGTTGGCTAGTTTATTTCCTTGTTTATTTGTTCGTTCGTTTGTTCATTCGTTAGTTACGTTAATTGGTTAGTTACATAGTCAATGTTTGTGCATTGTAGACAGCTAAGTAAAAAAACAGTATCTCACTCTTTCTCTTCAAGCAAATTTTGCTATTTTTCAGAGCCATTTTCAAACTTTGTACCACCAAAAAATTATTTATTAAAATTTAGAACTAAAGTAGCTTCCAGCACTAATGGCGCAGCGTAGTTGCACAGAGCTGAACAACTACTACATTAAACTACTAAAGATATAAGTATAGAATCGTTGAGCTTTCAAGCAATGTTACCAGGGGGTCTCCTACCAACCTTGTCCATGTCGCCCACGTGATAGAGTCTATTTTATCTTGAGCTGTTACATGCTGACCGCCAGGAACGGAGAAAACGAGCCTCTCGTACGCACCAGTTGAAACCTAGAAAAAGATACAATATCCTAAGATAGCAATAAAATCGGCATTGTCATCACAATTCCAGCAGGCCTCCCCTTTTTACATATTTTTTGTTTCTGTTTGAGATTTTTGTAAGCAACGTTATTGATGGAAGCATTTGGTAGTGTTTGGAATTAATCTGGCCAACCTCTTCATGGTCCAATCAAGGGCGTTGAAAAATGTCATCCTTTCCGATTATTGAATAATAAAATTGGGGCAGGGCAACGTATGCAGGGCAGCGATAGTCTGATTTTTATTAAAGTTGAAGTTTTATTTCTATGAAAATAATGGAAGGAAAAATTTTGGAAATTGCATCTAAGACAAAAAATGTGTTTGGGTGTCGTGTATTCAATAAATTGAGTTAAAATTGAATTCAGATACCTGTATGTATTTCCCATCAGCAGAAAAGTCCATTTGAATAACAAAACTTGGAATTCCCTTGCAATAACCAATTCTTGCCAGTGCTCCACCAGGTTTACTGTTGTAAAAGTCAACAGTTTTATCATCAGATCCAACAGCAAGTATTTCACCATCTGGACTAAACCTGCATTCAAACAAAGAAGAGTAAGAAAAAAGAAAACGAAAACGACGAAAATTTAGCACAGTACAGGAAATTGTGTCAATTCCAATAAATATAATTCATTAGTCCAATGGCAAACTATTTCACATAACAATGTCTGCGAATCTACAAATTAGCCATTTCGCGAGTTATTGATCAAAGGCTTTCACTTTCGGCAACAGAATACCTTATTTAAAAGCAGAAAAACTGCCAATTGATTATCCTTGACTTTGTCAACCTTTTTGTCGATGAACGGGCTTTGGACCCTAGAGATAGAGCAGTTTTTTTCGATGCAGACATCTGCAAGAATTATAAAGGCCATACACATTCCAATGGTATTGAAATACCTCAAGTCGTGAATTGCTTGATTTCTGTCACGCTTTTTACCGAGAACTTGCAAGGATGTAGCACTGAGTATGGAGAATTCTCCATTCTTCATACCAATGGCGATTTTGTCACCTTCAGGAGAATATGTCACAGATCGTATTGCTCCACCCAAAGATGCCTTTTTTACCATGGTCTGGAATAAAATGAACTTTCGTCACTAAAAAAATATTTCAAAAAGGATAAAAGAGATTAATTATGAGAAGGGCAGTCTATTAAAGGCAATCGAAATAATATTTGCCTCTGATAAAACAATACTTTGAGGAAACCGTGCATGGTTTGATTGAAACTTTATAAAAAAATTAAACGAAAAAGATGTTAAGTACACTTTTCAAGTTATATCATGCCAAAATTGCAGTTTAACTGTATTTTCGCAAATGGTTGCTTTCTCCTTAGGATTCCCGCTTTTTGCTACAATTGTACTGCTTACTTGATAAATAGCTTCATTCTAAAGAGAAAAATGCTTGTTTAGGAGGTAAAAGCAATGTTTCATTTCTAATACCACCTTTGTAGAGGCATCCCATAATCGAACAGTCCCATCATCGCTGCCTGTGACAAAAACATCCTTCACAGGGTGTGATGCCAAACCCCATATTTCTCCTTCACAGTGTCCATGCAGTAACACCTAGTTACGACAAAATATATTGTCACTACTAAAACTTCATAAAAAGAATTGATCATGAAACACTTGTAGTCGTTGATTTTTATCAAATATAAGAGCACATTAAACATCTGATCAATAAAAGAAAGGCGAAGTAATTCTTGGCATAAAGCTCAAAATGATAGCTAATGTAAATGAGTCTTTCTTTGAAAATAACTATTTTGAAAACAATTACCTGTGGTGCTGCTGACTTTTCATTGATCTCAAAAACTTCGCTGTCCTGTGTTCCAACTAATAATGCACCCTGCAGCAAAGGAAATTTGAAAGCTTGGGCTACACGATAAATAATTGGACTAAATTTGTACTACTTTCACCTAGCAAGATAAACATATATCCTGGTATTCAGAAATATATTGTTGATAAAGTTTGGCTTGAGTAGCACTATTGTTCAAGATTGCCTTCGTGAAAGCCAAAGATGCAAAATAAAACACCACAAAAATTAATTACAAAATACATCTCTCAGTATTAGGCTAATAATGGCAAATTAACCCCACCTTAGCACCTCCTCTACAAACAGCTCTTGGTATGGGTTGCTTGGAGCCAGGTCCAAGATTGAAGACACGACATCTCTTCATTTCTTGGTCCCAGATTTTAACAGGACCACATTCTTTAGAAGCAGCTGGTCTAAAACCAAATGAAATATGTTATACCAAAGCTAACTTACTGGTATTGATGAATATCTTCTCAAATCAGATCACATCAGGTTAATCGCGTCAACACTAGCATAAGATAAGAACCTTATCTTAACCCAAAAATGTACCTCCTCTTAGCCTTTTTACGTTAAGACGTCCCTTCAAAAGTTGCATTTCTGTGGTTTCTGAGAAGTGCCCAATTCAACTACTTTTTTACAATCCTAACAAACATGTTGGTATATGCTCCAAATAATTTCAATCTGCCAAATTCATAGAGATTATTTGACAAAGCCCGGCTCTTGTCCCATATAAAAGCACAGATAAAAAAGCAAGCTAATGTGAAACAAGCTTACTCCTTTTCTTTGCCACCAGTAACAATAAGCCCATCTTTGATTGTCGTGTACATAGTGAACACTGGGCCAGAATGCGCCTGCCCAACAACTCTGGTAAGACTCGTTCCCACCCATACGAAAACATCACCACTCATTGAACCTGTGAACGTTGTGTCGTTCTAAAATCAAAAAATAAAACGACGATACAAGCCAATCCCAAAAAGCTTCAGAGAAATTGCATTGTTTCGAAGATTTTATGGGTAATTTCAAAATGCGAATTTAACCTCTAGTCTGTAAAGAACTGCATAATTAATTTTATGGATATTTAAACCATGATGAGTATAAAGACACAAGATTGGGATTCTGTTTCGAACAAAAATCATTCTGTAGGGAATATCGAAAACATCATGCTAATGGTGGTATCATTTCATAGGCATGCAAAATATGCTTGGTAGAACAACAAACCTAAAAATGTCATTGTTTCAGAGAAAAGCAAAGTTTTCAAGCATTTAATTTTTGGTGGCGATTTTATGCGGGGAGGTGCTACTATTTTCACTTACTTAAAATAATAACGCTTATCTTTTGTTGATAAACATTACCATTCCAGATCTTATATCCGAAAAAAGAGCAAGCTGAACCAAGCTATAAATCTATCATTCGATTGAACAAAACCGAAATTTGCTTTAGATTTTCCACGCCTTAAGAACAAATGAATTGACTTACGGATCCAAAAGCAACAGATAACATTGTCTGCATTTTGACATCTTGATCGGGTAGGGCTACAACACCTTTCTTCCCTACTAAACATCCACCAGCAACGGTCCAGAACATGACGTGTTTTACACCACAAGTTACGAACGCTATGTCAGAATCAGGACGGAATTCACCAACAAAGATTCGATGCGAATGACCGACAGATGAAGCAACTTTGCTACCTGAAAAATAAAAATACACGTTCTTTATTGTGTTTTATTGGATTTCATAACTTATTCCAAACCCTAGAATTCGTGTCCACTTTTTTTGCTCTTCGTCAACTTAGAGTTCTTAGCCGCAAAGAGATTTTAGTGAGTAAAGTGACATAAGACGATAAATTGCCTTTCTTCTATCTTATTTCAGTTGGAGAGATCCTTCATATGAGCCCAGAAACCGAACAATACTTTGAGTAAATCTGAATCCTTGGTTTGTTGATGAAGATCACAATTGTTAATGGTAGCTACATATATCAGCCTGTGAAGAAATAATGACGTCATCAACGCATGCAATGCTCCCAAACTCAAAATCAAGGTGAATACCAAATAATTATTTATGAATTTTTATTCTAGTCAGCCAAAACTAGCCGGGTATGTGCTAAGTGAGACAAAAAAGCAAAACTTGTACTAAAGGAAGGAGACTGTCATCAAACTCCCATATTATTCAAATATCATAGACATAAAATCAGTTAATCAATTAATCGAAACGCAACAATCGATCAATCAGTCTAAAAATATTCATTGCTAAGTATGGATCAATCAATCGTTCCACAATGATCTATTTACCTTCTGCCCATTTCCACACAGCAATAGAATGTTCGTTGTCCAGTCCGACTGTTAAAAGGTACCTTCCACTGGAACTAAAGTGGACAGAGCATACACCTTTTGTGTGGAAGCCCTGGACAATAGACAGTGTTTCCATATTTCCTGCGTTCCACACGTGCACTGCGGGGCTGTTACCAATCTGGCCAGAAGCGACAACATTCTGAAAGATCAACAAAAGAAAGGTACTCTATCGCAGTGTAAAAAATGTAGATAGGCCATTGTGTAACATATTATTTTATATTTACCGGCATTATGATCTCTCATCAGCTAACGACTTTCATTACGATCTCACACTTGCTTAAATTCTGGTCTCAACAAAACAGAGAAGGTTTTTCATGCTTTATTTCTAGCACAGTCCCATTTTTTCTTTGACAATGAAAAATTTCCCTCATCGTTAACAAGTTTACCATCACTATTGTCATTATTGTCGTTTTGCTCAAACAGTGAATTGCTGGTGGATTTAATTCTTTTCTCAGATTCTACATCGTATTTTTGGACGTTTCTCAGTGCATTATACTGAACAAATTCAAAACTGAATCGAATCCTGATTGTTAACGTTAGCCATCAAAGCAATGCCAAGCAGTCAAATATATCAGTGATGCTCACTGCAGACACCAAAAAGATTTCAACATTCTTGCTGGGCCGTAAATTTACTAATTGTAATTTGCAACTTTCTGAAAAGTACATTTTATACTTTTAATTTAGATCTGATAACGAAATAAATGGGACTTTTTAGGTATCTTTTGTAGAGATGAACGCCCCCTTTTTAAGAATTTTCATGCTTTGAAAGAGGTAAAAATTTGGATTAAAATGGATTATTCGGAGTATTTGATCACACTTAAATGTCATCAAATAAGCCCTGGCTTTGAGAAATAGGTAGCCAAGGTCATTTAATTTGAACTGACAAATAATTATTAATGACAAACAAATTCATGATGATTAAAATGGCATAAAATGGCGATGCTTTCGTTAAACCATAAAACGCCTAGATTAACATCATCCATTCGACAAATGATCTGACAGATTTCAAGGATTAGTCGACAAAAATTGAAGGTAACCGCGAAGATCTAAAGCTCTCAAACCCGGGATCTGGAAAGAAGTCCAGATGATACCTGGGGATACAAAATAAACTGCAAAGGGTTAATTCAACAGTCAAAGAATAAAATAATGCAAAAACCTTGAATTTAGGATTCTGATTGACAGTTAAACAAATGATGTCATCTGTGTGCTCTGTATAAAACTTCTGATTGTTTGTTGAAGAGTTGTAAACAATACCAACGCCTGCTGCATGATAGGCAATATCACCTTCGGAAAGGTAATGCAAGTTATTTCGCGAATCGAATCCTCGATAGCCGTACACGAATTCCAACTTCAAGTCCTATGTACAAAAACAAAGTAAATGTTGCGTGGGAGTTTAAAAAAACAAAGTAAATGTTGCGTGGGAGTTTGAAACTACACAAGTAACAACAGGAAGTATAGTGCTCTTCTTTAGTAAGGAATCAAAATAACGAAAAGCAAAGGAGAAAATATCAGATGTTGGCTTTTCTCCTGGGTAACAAAACTTTTACAAATTTACATACCGGGATGCATTGCCATTTCCTATCAAAGCACCTTATATTTTGAGAAGGGGGGGGGGGGATGTGATAGGAAAGTGTGGAGTAATGACCCGCCAAAAGGCAGTATACAAAAATATTTGAGTGGTGAAAGGTGATTACAACTATTCATACCTGTACATCAGTGTGTTTCTTCTTTTTGCCTTCTGGAGAGGCAGCCTCCTTTCGCTGAACCCGATGGCGGGAGGAAGCCCGACTCACTGCGGGTCTAAGAGAAAATCAAAGTAACGGTTTAAAATCACTTTTTCAAATTGCAATATTAAAGCTATTATAAAGAATCGCAGAAAAGCTACTGTAATGCACGAAAACGTTTGTTGAACGGGATAGGATGTGTCAACCAGAGTCATAATTTACATACTCAAGTGAATTTTGATAAATAATAACGTCATAGTCCTTACACAGTGTTTCGTTTGTGCCATATTCCTTAGGGTTGGTAAACAAGTCTTAAAATGAAATAGTCACCCTTTACTTCACAAATTTTAAGGCACCCTATATACATCTAAAGTAAACATACAATGAACAAATAAGATTTTAAAAGCATCTTAAAGGTAGGCTGTATAGTAATTTTCTTCTGTCAGTCGAACTATATTATTTTGGTCTAATTTTGTATTTTTAACATCGATGCAATTTTGTAATTAATCCTTTTAGGTTGTAATATTGTAAAGTTTTGATGCGGCCCCATGAAAAGCAGCCCTGATAGGGCTGCCGTTTTAAATTAAAGTGAAAGGTAAATGAATTTAATTTCTTTTTAGTCTTGTTTCTAAAAACAGACAAAAACATTGTATGATAGGTGACAAGATCCTATTGAGTTGTGTGGGCTCTCAAATACAGCTAAAGAAACCAATATGACCATTCAAACAGCAAATGCACATACAGGGATACATTTGTACCCATAAGTTTGATATAACAGCGGTAAACTATCATCCATAACTAGATACTTGACATCGTAGATACAGACATACTTGCGACTTTCTTCAATCGATTGGTGCTGTGGTTTGGTACCAGAAGATTCTCTCAAAGACACGGTATAAATCTTTGACGAATAGTCGATCTTTTTCTCTCTCTCTACATCGCTATCGTAGCCACTCTCCTCCTCAGAATCGGTGTCATCGTCCGCAGCGTCGACCTGTCCTGTGCCTGATGTAGGGGCTGTCTCATCCAGGTTATTCCAAACCATCATAGCAAGATCAGCTCCACCAACGGTTACCAGGCAGCTGTCATCATGAGACCATCTTACGTTTGTTACGTGAGCAGAATGTGCATTGTATTTTTTAAACTTTGCAAGTTTCTCCTTGAGGTGGGATAAAAATAAAGATTGATAATTTCTAAGCTGCTGCCGATTATTTGCATGCCATTTTGAAACATTTTCTTTATCAATCTTAATACATACAATCTATACAGATTTGTACGTATCAATTCATATTAACCATATACTAGTTAAAAAAAGCTTCCATAACCTAGATTCATCAACCGCGATTATTAATACGAATAAACTTCCTAAATAGAAACTTCCTAATAGAAAGCGTTAATTGGGCGGTAAGGTCGTACTTTACAGTGTTAAAGAGAAAGCGAGTCATGCATTGTAAAAATTACATTCGTAGCCAGCATTACCTTACATGGGAAGTCAAAAATCTTGACAAAGCCAAAATCATCTGCTGTTGCAAGCAAGGTTCCATCTTTACTGCGATCAGCAGCATTAACATCGGTGACATCACTCGCCCTAGGCCATATTCCTTCACATTCAGCACCAAGAACTCCTGTCCAAGTGGACCATTCGATTTTCTCGCGTTCCGTTGCAGTGATGGTTATTCGCTTGCCACGCGGTGCTTCGTAGTACAACAGTTCTTTGGCACCGGAATTGACTTGGATCAGTTTACCTAAGTGGGAAAATCTCTATAAATTTTGAATTTTCTATATATAGCTAAAGTTTAACAAATACGATTATCTTTAGAAATGCCGGATTACAGATGACAGAATCAGGATTTATGTGGCTGGATAACAAAACCGACATCATTGCATACCTTTAATATCCCAGTCAATGTGTGTTATATAGCTCGACGCTCCTTTGCAGATACCAACTCTTTGGTTGTTTAAAACATTGTATATGTCAACGAAATTGTCATGGGATGCGACTGCCAGGTACTTGCCTTCACCTAAAAAATATATTAGCTCCTTTAGGCTCTCTGACTGGAATCAGAAAAGTTGGTCAAAAGATTAAATAAGATGTTACGCAAAACCACTAAGCCAAAACAAAACAGAGAGGATGTAAGCTTTGTTGGTTTTCTGAGTGGAATGTGGAATTTAAAGATTGATTTTGAAAAGTTAATAGAAGAATTGTACCGATATGTCACATATGTGTGACATAAGTATAGTGTCACAAGATCAAAACAAAACTAAAACACCTTTTATAGAACGTGACATACTTTATACTTGTTATTGATACTATATAAGTTATTGATAGCACCCGTCTCTGCCTTTTCAAACAACATCCCTTAAAGTTTGGAGGGTTATTTAAATGACTGTTTGTTAGGGTTGTATATGTATCAATTCAAAGACAGTGTTCAGCAGTATATTCGTAAGGGTATTGTCTTGCTGTAAAAAATATGTTCAAAAATTTGTAAACAGAATGCTCTATCAAACCGTAGGCATTTTTTGCAAATAATTGATCCCAGTGTAATTAACATACACACAAAAATCTTGTTTACCAGGTGAAAACTTGACATCTGATATTTCCTCTTTTCTGTGATGAAAACCAATCATGTCACTGAGAGAATCCGTATCAACCACTGCAAAGCTTCCTGGACACAACAAGAGGGATAAAGTACTTAGAATTGCAACAAAATAGGATTACTCCGTGCTATAAGGAGATCATGTACATTCATAATGGCTATAAATTGTTGAAAAGGGTAACTGTTTGTAGAGCAGTGTCCTTGTCCTAACTCTCGATGCGAGGAAACCACTTTCCTCATAAGCCTAGAGTTACATAGAGCTGGCAACATTTCTCAGTGTACATATAAGTTTGCTATAGAAAGATTCGGTAAGGTTTGAGGCATGGCATTTGGTTTTGCATACCAAAACCATCTTTAAAACTCATCATTATTGTATACTTAAATACTTCTTTGAGATTGGTTTAGTTAAGATTTCTTCCAAACCTGCCAAGAGCGTTTCAATACAAGCAATTGAAAAAGGCAGTTTAAACCTTCAGATTCCTTTTAGGTGAGCACATCAAGTTTACAGAAACAGGATACTTCTACGACACTCTTCCCAATAGAATTACTCACCATTTTTCATGCCCACGACTATGGCTTTGCCATTCGGTGAAAAACCGACACACCTCCCAGCAATGGGAAATTTTCTGATTTTGATCATCTTGTTGTCCGCTAGATTCCAGACCCTTAAAGTGCAGTCATCACCAACGGTTGCACAAATTGGCTCCGATGGATGCTGTGCCAATCCCCATACTTCTCCTTCTCCGTGTCCCTACGGAAATAAGAAATTCAATGAAGAAAAATGGGCCAAAGCATTTCAGCCTGTTTCCTGGCTTGAAACTCCTTCCATGTATTTCCATAAGGCTAATATTTAAAAACCTATTCGAAAAGAAAATCTTTTCGATGAGCTGGGATTAAATAAACTACAGTAAACAATGAGAACTTAGACTTTGCTGTGAATACTTTTGACTCAACCTTTGATACCCTGTGCCATAGAAAATACACTCTTGATTCAGTATTCGCATGTTTCTAACTTTCCAATAGTTTCGAAGAGTAATAAAATTAAAACCTTAGTTAGAAATAACACCTACCTGTATAAGGATTTCAACAGGACCAGCTTTGTCGATTTCCATTATCTAAAAGAAAAATGAATTCTGTTGTCTAAAGACAAGCTGAATAACACTTGGACGATTAAAGATCTTAAATTTAAAATAAACTGTGTTGATATTTCCCCTCAACAAAAGTACGTTACTTTTGTTTCCTGAAAGAACAAGTTACATGTAGTTTTGTAGCCTTATAATAAAAATTGCAAAACGAGCTAACGTGACATAAAGTCACAAAAGGAATAGTCAGTCCTTCTGTACAGACATTGTTCATCGATGGAACTTAAAGTACATTTTTGTGATGCAGATACGAAATAACTGGGTAGGATTTCGCATCCTACTACGTTTTGTACTATTTCTTCGCGAAAACTAAACTGAGCTACATACAGTTTACTGGCTACATAGATTGGAACAATTACACAAATATATACAGAATTTTCTCCAAAGTATTTTAGGGGCAAAAGCAAACAAAAAATAAAAACTCGATAGATGTCACTTTTTAAAAATCTGCATGATAAATCTGATTCAGCCTGACAGAAAAAGCTCCAGGGTTCACATTGTAGAAATGAATACAACGAAGAAAGCTTCCCTTACCTCGCTACTTCGTGTACCAACAAGAATCTTTCCATGGCCTAACGTGACAGCTCTAACAGGTGGGAAATCATCCAGCAAAACGGAGCTCTTCTCTAGATTGGCTTTTGCAATCTTGTATGTTTTCAGGCAACGGCTGAAATTCTCGTCCCATAAAGCAACAACTCCGTCTTTCCCACCTGATACAAAACCCTAAAATGGTAACAGAGGTCCTTGTCACAAGATTCGCCTTGAGTAAAGTGTAGAATTTATACATACTAAAAAGCTTCAGAATATACATAAAGTTAAATATAGAGAGCAAAGGATAATCTTCAGTTCGATTCTCTTCTGGGAGGAGATAGGTTGAAAAAAAGAAACCACGGGGTACCTTAATGACTCCTTCTGCTACATTTTCTACCATTTAATTGTTAACCTATAACTATATAAAAATACCTGTGTCTAAAGTAAAAGCGGAAATGAATTGAGCATCCCATGAATTGCATAGTAAATTATCTTTTCAAAACTGCTAGAAATAAGCAGATTTCAAATGCATTTGTCTCGTATAGGCTTTATTTGGTCTATAAAGTCTATTGAAAATCTATTAAAAAGGATTTCCAAAACTACCTTTTCAAGACAATGCAAAGAAAATACGGGTCCTTTGTGAGCTTCAACGATCTGCTTCAACACTCCGTTTTCCCACACATAAACCGAGCCATTGGAAGCTCCACTGTAGACCATCCCTGGTGTCTTTGAGAACGATGAACAAAGCATAGTCTCCACTTTTCCCTCTTTGCCAAAAGTCCCCCTTTTAGATGTAAATCCACCTCCAGTTTGAGTCCAGAATTTGATATGCTTCATTCCAACAGTCACCAACTGATCTGTGTTGATTGGATCCCATCTTATTTCAAATATTTTGTCTTTATGTCCCCTAGAAAAAATGAAGGCATATCATTAATAAACATTTTAACCTACCAATACATCGAACTACACATAAATTATTTCGGTCACGTCAAGACTTTTTGCAGACTCTTCAAAGGTTTCGATGCCAGGTCAGTCAAACACAATGTCCTCACAAGCTGCTACAGCTAATTGAAATCTACATACCTGGTTGTCGCGAGCTTCTCGCCCTTGCGCCAGTCCCATACCACAACACAGTGATTGTCGTCCAAGCCCACGCTCGCAAGTCTTTTACCGTCGGCTGCATGAAGATAAAGGACTTGAGTCATTTTTGCAATGTCTACATATTGGCTAATAGGAAGACAAAGTTCCGAGAGAGAAAAATAGACGAAGCTTACTTAACTTGTATCTTTTCTTAAATGCAAGATGTCCTGTCATACCACAATATTGCTTAATACCGTTTTATAATACCCTACAGTCCAGTGAATCCTTTAAATGTGTAGCTTCAGTGACATAAAAATCTGCAAAATTCTGAACATAGATTTGAAAGTTGAAGCACACTGCAGAACCTCAGCAACAGTAGATATGCTTTTGATCACACACACAAAATTAAAACTTTTTACGGGTAATATATATTTAATAATTTGGCGTAAAAAATCTAATTACCTGAAAAATCAACAGCACAAACACCACGCTCGTGCTGTCCTTTTAAAATCGATAGAACCTCGCACTTTTCAGCATCCCAGATATGGACAGTCGCATCACGGCCTACCTACAAATTATAAAATTAAAAATCTTGCAACATCTTCTCAATTCATGGCCTAGTTTTGGAGACAAAAACAAGACAGAAATTGCCACTAAGGTAACTAAAATTCAGCGGAAAACAGTTAGCATAAATTTTATTCTTAACCCAGAACGGTTTCCTAAAAGCTATTCAGCTGAACTGGACCTTGTTCACTAGAACATGTGCCTACAAGAAATCGTCCAAGTTCCCTTAAAGCAACCTTGAAAGCAACGTTAGCGTGACTGGATGTTGACGTAAAAACACATAACGGTATCGGTAAGGGCATTACAGAGGGCAAGGGCGGTTACCAAACTGAGAGCTCCAAACATTAATGCAAGGTCTTCTAAGGTAAGGTCTTCAGCTGAAGTAAAAGTTGAATTGCTAGATCTTATAAACCTTGATCATATAAAATATCAAATAACCTATTAGGAATCCCAGATGACAACTAAGAATCTTTGGAATGCAACAGCTGATCTGAGGTTATCGAAAATAACTCTGAATGACTGAAAAATGACTGAAATGTTTCTCTTTTAGAGGTGCTAAGTCTAGAAATGGGATTTTACCTGTGTGGCAACTTCTTGTTTAATTGTCAACAGGTGCTTGCCTTTTGATACCTTTTCCCCATATATTCATTTTAAAAACTTATTCTATATCACAAATGTTTTTCATTGTATGTATCTATGAGTTGTATTTAGTTTAACTTAGTTTGCTATGATATCATAAAGCTTTAATAATGGATGGCTCTTTTAAAATCGACATCGTTCCCCTTCTGAAACAGATGACTTGAATTACCTGTCCAGTGGCAATGATGTCCTTCATTGGGTGAATAGCAAGGCACAGAATATCGTCATCATGACCCAAATAGAACCTTTGTGAATGCGTTTGTTTGTTGTAAACAACCCCAACAGCAGCTATGTGGTATACGATTTCACCCGACTGCATGTAGAAAATGTTGTTACGACAATCGTAGCCACGGTACCTGACAAAACCAGAAAGTACAAAAAAATTAACGGGTCATTCCGTGTCAAATCATCCAGAAATTCTTAACTCTGTAACCATGATGTTTTCCGAATGCATTCATTTTAACAGAAATTCAAATTTCGCTTCGATATCTAAATTCCTTCAAAAGTTATAGCTGTTTTGAATTTTGGGCGTTTCCTGTGAAATATCTGCTTTGGCTGTAACTATGAAAATTGGTATTCCGACTAAAGAGATAGTGCAGGTTTCAATGCGTGCTTTATAGTTTAGTTGCATTTCAGCGCTTTATATCATAATTTTTGCTTTAATATATTGCACCTGAATTTATGGACTGTCTATATACAAAAATTCAGCACGCTCTCAGATGGATTGAAAATGTTGCATGCTAACGATATGGGGCAGTTGTGTCCCATTTTCCCGCGCTTATGACTTTTACTATATCAATGGGCTTCACCTTTTCTACTTGTCACAATGGGTTTATCAACAAAAGCAATATCATTGCACAAATAAAAGCCTTGATTTCAAGCGTATAATATCATTCCCACGGCACTGAGACCCCAATTCCTCAAATGAGCAAATAACTAAGGCACACTTTAACCAAGAGGTATCAAACTGAATACAATGTAATTAAAATATCGAGTTTCACAGACTACTGCGATCGTAATTTTAGAACGCTAAACACGTTAGACTAATTATATCATAGATTATTCTCATATTTATCAATAGGGAACATTATAACACACATGCTATATATTTACCCATGCACAAAGCTAAGTTGGACACCCTTCGAAGGTGACTTCCCACGTGCCTTTTTGGCGGAAACTTTCGTGTCACTTTTCTCAGCATCCTTCAGCTTTCGTTGGATCTTTGGAAGGTCTTCTTTGTAAATTGTTCTGCCATAGTCTTTGGTTAATTCCTAGAATGCAAAGTGAAAAAAGTTAAAGTTTATACGTTTGGCTATACTGACAAGCTAGCCTTCAGATAGAAAATAGTCACATGAAAAATAGCCAAAGATTCATGACACACCTGAAACTATTTGCACACCCACATCAGTGTTCGAACATGGCCTTTAGACATGTGTTATTGAAGCTAATATACACATATAGAATTACATTTCAACATGCTTTCTTGATAATTTTCTAAAAAACTCAAAAGGATAATAGACACATTTAAAAAGGACACAAAAATCCACACAAATACTGATCTAAATAACATTTTTTAAGACCCAAGTTGCCACAATTCTCGGCTACTTTCGAAAGATTGCTGTAAATAAACAGCTTTAAGAAGGGCTTTGCTCAAAAAATATTATAAAAGACCATTTTGCTTCTTGGCTGTATAAAAAATCATTTTCGTGTCTCACTTCTCTTGTAAAATTATAATTTCAGACAAGATTATAATACAATGCTTGTTTCCAAAATATCTAAAATATAGATTATAATACAATCCTTGTTTCTATATCATCTTTTCGATCCATATTATCTTCTATTTCGGAAAAATCCTTTTAAAATAAGTCTCTGAATTTGCGCCCGTTATTTGTTTTCAAACATTACCGTAAATAACACACTGCCGCAATACACTCGATCTTGTTTAAATATTTTACAGGTACCCAGCGAAGTCGGTTCTCTTTTTATTCGACATTTAAAATGTAAATAGTTGTAGGCGTTCTTTGTCTGCCGCTAGAACTATACGCTAAAAACAATCAATCAAAGTTTACCTAACATAGTTGCTTCATTTAATGAAATTTTTATAGTTTACACGAATGATTGGTCTCGATATATTTTGGATTATGATACCAACTGCGATCTTTGAAATCAGCAAAATAGAATCTTAAGAAAACCGGTACCTACAATCTAAACATAACTGTTGAGAAAAACGCTTATACACAAACGCTTATACACAAACGCTTATACACAAAGTCTTGACCCATTCAAAGTCTTAACCAACTTTAACCCATCTGAATCGAATCAATCTATATGTCTATTTAATAGCAGAAATATCCACATTGAACAGGGGAATGGGTGAAAAATCTAAACAACATCTGCCAAGGATATTGCTTAAAAAGATCTAAATTCTACAAAGCAAATGAACACTACTTCTAAATTTTACTGACTCTTACAATTTGTTATGAACAAAAAAACTCTACAAGATTAAATGGCTACAAACAATTTCGAGTACAGCAAATAGCACATCTGACCTGCTCAATATCACTGTCAACAGGGTCCACATCAGACAAATCAGAATCGCTTGCTTCATCGTATGAATCGCCAAGATCAGCGACTGTGCTTGCCACATCACTTGCAGCAGAATCAATGCCACCCTCGGGTATGAATCTCCACTGGAAAACGGCATGATCTGCACCACCTGTGCTGATCACGTATGTACCATCACACGAGAACCGAACGTTCGTTACGTGAGCAGAATGTCCAACATACTTTCGAAATTTTCCTCCTGTAACAAAATATTTTCACATGCGATACTCTTATATATATATATTCAACCTTGCAGAATTATCTATGGGGCCTATGAAGCACAATAACGCTCCTTGTAGGACAACATTCAAAGGTGCTACTTGCACCTTCCCTAAAAAAAATTCTTATTAGGCCTATACTATGACTTTCAAAGAACTATTGTTTCCTCATAAAACTTCGAAAGGAAGTTCCAGATTCTCTTATAGGTAAAACACTTAGTACATTTAAGACTAAAGCTAAACCTTGTCAACTAACAGAAGTATTTTTCAGCGAAACTTTAAGCTTGGACTTTCCAAAAATCTCCCGCCATCTGTTCACATACATTGTATTGAGGTTATAAAAAGCTTAGGTGTTGCAAAAAATATGTCTAAATCAAAGTACCTTTCTTGATGCAAGGAAATCGTACCAGCTTAACTTGTCCAAAATCATCTCCTGTAACTATAACCCCGTTTTGAAAATTAGCCTCCGCAGCATTCACATCTGTTGTGTCAGTAAATTTCTCCCAAATTCCATTCACCTCATCGCCTAGAACGCATGTCCAAGTTGACCAGTGAATCGAATCAAGCTCCTCCTTTTTCGTCACCCTTTTACCCACTAAAGAAACAGATGCACTTATTACTAAATTTCTGCTCATTAAACGAAAAGCACTATTTAACGCAAGGCCGTCAGAAGCGGGGCGGTGGGCTGGGGGCATTAAGCACCCCATTAATTGTCAAACTGTAGTATATTTCCTTTATAATGATGAAGTGAATAGGAAGCAATACTATAGGCAGCCCCCCCCCCCAGTATGAATTTCGTTAAATGAAATTGCATAAACCAAAACAAAACTACAGGGCTACATTTTTTTCGAAATTAGATATTCTGTGTCAGAGGCACCAGTCTGAAGATATTGAGCAAAATGCAGAAGTGCAAATTGACTTTTGATCGGTATGCAAAGAAATAGTGCCGACGTTGCTTGCAGGGCAGTTAAGTATAAGTTAGTTTCCTGCGTAACATTAAATGACTTTTTTCAAAACGATTAATAAAATGAATGCCTTTAGTTTAGTCTTAAAATTGGCAATCAATAAATATACCAGGCATTCGGTAAAACAGTCGTTCGGCTGCCCCTGAATTTGTTTGAATGTATTTGCTGTCATCTGAGAAATCTAAATGAGTGATGTAACTAGAGCTTCCTTTACAGTTGCCAACTCTTTTGTACCGTTCGTTTACGGCATAAATGTCAACAAAGTTATCATTTGAGCCAACAGCCAAAAGCGAACCATCTGGGGAATATTTCATTTCATGAAGCACCTCCTTTCTGTCTTTGATGTGATACAATTCTGTTAAATCTCTGCAAAGAGACATCAAGTTTTATTCTTGTCTAATCTAATTTAAAAAATCTTAATCTCTTTATATAAATTACCATTGAATAAGAACCAGACAGTCGTAGACGTACGGAAGAAAAAAGGCCTTACTGTTTTACTGTTTACTAACTTTTCGATTGTGCGTCACGGCTATACTTGTACAGTTTTATTAGTTTATCAAAAGTATTTATAAAATTTCAAGTGTTGGTTGTGTTGGAAATAAGAAGGGTACAAGCGACAGCATGTAGCTAACTCCCCCTTTGTTGGGGGTGTCTTCTTACCATTATAAGTGTATTAAAAACCCGTTTCCAAAACAGCTTGCATACATACATACATTATAAACGCAGATCAATAGCTGAATCTTTAAATTATTCAAGATGTTTTAGTATGAATTTATTCATCAGTATTTATGAATAAGAATGGTGTACGTAGAACAGATGATTCCTGTACCTTCCCTTTAATACCCTGAAGGATCCATCCCCGTGTCCAATGGCAATTTGACTTCCATCAGGGCTGATAGCCGCTGACCGAATATTCAAATCAAACTGCCCACGAGCGATCAAGCTTCTACTAGCCATGTCCCATAAACTAAAAAGAGCAAGCAAGAATGCAAACTCAATTAAAAGTAAAACCAGTTTACACTTAGAAAGAAGGTAGACTACAACGAGATGTAATTAAGATTTGATTCATTAGCTTTAGTTTAGCCGCAGCCAATAGAAGAAACTCATAAACAAAAGACAGTCAATGGAAAATCAATTTATCTGTATCATTATATACTTAATCTCTTAGCAAAGCTCGCAGCAAACAACAATGTTATGTTTCCATCTCTGTCATAAACATTTTGGCTCATTTTATAACAGACAATTATCAAGCATCCACCCTTTAATTCTCACTGACTTGATGTATTTCCAATTTAACCTTGAGATGTTTCATAATCAAGCTTGATCGAAACAATTAAGTACAAGGCGCTCTGCTAGGGAACATTACCCTATCGCGATACCAATTTACCTAGTGACAAATCTTGCACAAAGCCCAGAAACAAATAAGATAAGATAAAATTTCTCAGGACATTAGGAATGGACGGCAGAATTGGAAGCCATATGTATTCAAGAAGAAAGCTTCCCAGAAACCTACCGAACAGATTTGTCATCGCTACCAGTGACAAACAGCTGTTTACGGGGATGACAAGCCAAAGCCCACAATTCCCCTTCGGCATGACCCTGTCGGAAGAAAAACATCCATTAAAAATCTACATTGTAACAATTTAAAGTATTTTTATGAAGACTTATCCACCCTGGGCTCACCCTAATCATGGATATAGGCTACGGTGGGATTGCAGCATATGAACCAGAAAAGGAGTGCTGCACCCAGTGCTATAAAACTTCCAGGAAATGACACCTTCGGGTAGCCTAAATCCCACAAAACTCTTTAGTTTAAAATCCAAGAACGCCACCTTTTTTGCAACGACAACTTTCGTATAAAATTTCCATCCACAAATGCCACGAGTCTAAGCAATTTTCCTCTCTTATAGAGACATTTGCGTTTCCTTACCAGGCACAAATATCCAGAATGAGTGCATAAAAAAGAATGCAAAAAAAATTCGATGCAGGAACATTGCAAATATTATTGGAGAAAGCATACAATTGTTTCGCATTATTGAGATGAATACCAAAACACTGAAAAACAATATGTAGGACAGTGCACACAAAATTTTCAAGCTAGAAGATCAAAAAAAAGTGGACACGTAACAATTTGTAGGAATGGCTTGGTCTCATATTTATGGGTCATATACATGACTTTAGCGTGGAAGATTGAGCAAACAGTGTAGAGAATAACAACAAAGACCCAAAAAAAATTCCTCAATATACCTGTACAAGTGTGATGGGCTTGTCTTTGTCTGCAGCAGTTATCTCAAAAATTTCCCCTCCGTTTGTTCCAGCAAGGATTTTCTCTCCTCCCCAGCAAACACTCCTCACTGACAGACCTTAAAATTAGCACATTAATAATAAAAAACATATCTCCTTTTCTATTAGCTATTCTTGAAGAAAATTTATCAAGAACTTTTGGCTGCTATCAATTCGGCAATCTATATTGTCACTGAGATTTCTGATGTTGCCAATGAAACGAAATCATGGCAAAACAAACATTGCACGTGTCATGAAAGGAACAATTCTTACAGCTTAAATTCATGCATTTAAACGGAAAAAAATATCACCAAATTTTTTAACAAAAAATAATAAATGATGAAGATTATAAACAATAAATGTTTATCAGCTATTACCTTTATATCCAATTGGATTGTTGGCCAGATCTACTTTTGTGATTGGCTTAAACTCTGTATCCCAAAGAATGACAGTTCCGTCTTTTGATCCCGTTGCATAGCCATCTGGACAGCTGTGCATGGTAAAAACACCTCCCTGCAATGACATTGAACCATCCGATCTTATCGAGTTCCCTCAAAAATTTATCAGGCTACCAAAAATACTTGTAAACCAAATTCTTATTACGCTTGGTTTTATTCAAAACTTGCTGTTTTCTAAAACTCCTTAAAAGGCTGCTTCATAGACAAATGAAGATTACCTACCGAATGCGCATTCGGGATCGTTGCGACCAAGTTATTATCTTGCCATTTGTAAATGTCACCACTTAATGTCCCAGAATACAGGACACCATTAGGTCCATACGATGTGCAAAGAATAGTTTGCAGCTCGCCAACCTTTCCGAAAATTCCTAGAAAAACAGAGCAGAAGTATCAACATAGATATAATTGTTAACCAACAATCAATCGGGCTTAATCAACAATAGTTTAAAAACAAATGCACCACAAGCTTGCTGAATGTAGATGTGACATGAAAAATATATTGTCTTTGTAAGCTGCCTAAAGTTTCATAATGCTAAAGGACGCTCAATGTTTAGAATATCAACAAACTTTCAAATTGACACCCTTTTCATAGCAACAAAAAACAAATCTTGCTGCTTTTGATTCTGTTGTTATAATACCGTACTACATAAGTCTAGCAAATTTCATAAAATATAGAAAGAAAAAGAAAACCTTTCTTTGATGTTAATGAGTTGCCACATAGCTTCCAAAATTTGATATGTTTCACCCCACAAGTTACTAGCTGATTATCTTGATAAGGGTTGAATTGGACATCAAATATCTTGGAGAGACAGTAAAAGCATCGTTACATAGAGATACACTAAAGTATGTATTTATGAGCATAGCATACTGCATTAATTAACTTAAATAACTATGACATTAGTTCAAATAACCGCATATGATATTATCTGGTCTTTCAATATTTATTAGACAAATGCAGCTGCTTAACGAGAAGTTAACTTCATTGTTAAATAGTTAAAATATTTGAAAAAGACATATAGCAGATCATCCTAAAAACCTCTCCCCTATTTTATGGTTCTTTAACATTTTTTCTAAAAAAACTTTAGCAGGTAGGTCAGGATTGTGTTCTTATAAAATAGAGGACAAAAGTCAATTGTCTTAAACAAAAGAAGGTGGCAGGGGCTGGATGGCCTAGATTCGGCTAGATATGTAGAATCTTGGATAAATGTCAGTCAGGACATACAATGCCTGCCAAAAGTACTTGGAACACCTAGCAATTTACGCTGCATTCGATATCTTTCATTCCTTTCATGAAAAAAATTGCTACTTCCCCCCCTTCCCCTTAAAACAATGTTGATGATTTAGAGAAATATCAAAAAAGAAGCGCAAAAGAAAGTGCTTCCTAAAATCCTAACCCGTTTGATAGTAAACCAACATTGTTCTATAAGGGAGAGGGAGATGATTCATTTTGACCTTGGAAATTGATGTCAGTGTTCCAAGACTTTTGGCAGGCATTGTAGTTATTTAAAGCAAAGAAATTACAGATGCACAAAAGATCCACTATACCCGGTCATTATGTCCCCTAGTCGTTGCCACCACTTTTCCTTTCTTCCAATCCCAGACTGTTAGAAGTGCTTGATCTTCCAAACCAATTGATGCTACTTGCTATGGAAAGAATATTCAATAACATACTCATTTTTCACTTTAAAGAAGAGCATTTCAAAACCATGGGATAAAAAAGATCATTAAAAACATTAAACAACCTTTTCCAACCTATAAATTCCATTGCATGCAGTGAATCCATGAAAGAATAATCTTGTTTCTTTGGCTGTGTTTCTTTGATAAAGCACCTTGTTTCTAAGAACCTGTTCGCGACTAACAAATTTAGGGAGGTTTTTATTTAACAGAGCATTGTCTCTTGAACTTTATATTGCCACAGGAACAGGCCATGCAAAGAGAGGCGCTCAAGCTTGATCAAGCCTCGTCGCATGCCCTTAGAAAGTTCTAGAAGCTTGATTGATCGAGTACCTAGCCTGTTTATGCTGTCTAAAAACTATATGCAAAAAACCAAATTTTGTTATTGATGATATCTAATGATGCACAATTAAGCACATTGAAATTTGAAGGTGCTCAATTTGTCAAGCACCTGTTTTTGCCTGCACAAAGCCTGCACAGAAACTCCCTTTTATCAAGCACTAGTGACCAAATTTATTTACAAAATACACCTTAAGATAAGAGCCAAATGTCAAAAGCTCTAATCCTGTAATCTTCAAACCATATGTCCTCTAATTAAATTTTGAAATATTTTGATGTGGCATCCATAAAAGGAAATCAAAGAATATTGGTTAGATTGTTTTAATTACATAACATAACACTTCAATTATGAAGCTTTTCTAAGAAATTATATATGCAGCTCCAGAGAAACTTCAACACAACTTGTTAGTAGATTGACTGACAACTGAATAACCAACTAACAACTACTAACATCCAAACAACAGGCTTTTCATATATATACTATAATAAAAAAATTACAAAAATTACAAATGATAAGGCAATTCAAAAATGCCAATCTTTGGCTTCAAATATAAACTAACAAAAAAGACACATTTTTCGACTGCATTATTTGCCCAAGTTTTGCATAAAAATGAGTCTAACAGTTTTAGCATATATCGTCATTTTATGTCACATAAAAATGAACTTGTGCCATTTCTGAAATGTTGCTTATTAGTGGGTGGCGTTCATGAGAGAGAGAGATAGGCGTTGGGGGGATGATGTTAATTTGAGATTTGACATTTATTAGAAAAAATATGGTATACCCCTTTAAAAAAAAGGTCAAAAAAGTCATAATTCTTGAAAAGCAGGTTATTCTTTGGAGGGATTTACTGTGCCTGCTATAGTAATATCACCAATTACAAATGATTTACATATCTACAAATCATCAAAACCTACAAACACTAAACATTAAATATGAAATTCACTTTAGCTATTCATCACAAAAGGCAAGAACAATTTACCGTGCCAACTGAATTAAAAGTAAGACAGGATATTCCTCTCTGGTGAGCATCTTTCAGGATAGAAACAGTTTCACAAGTGACTGAATCCCAAACACAAATATATGGATCTTTTCCAACCTGCCCAGTTGCAACAAGAGTCCCTTCTGGATGCAAAGCTAAGCTAAAAAGATGATGAAATGATTTTCTTAAAGTTTATACAACATACAAGCAGACATATCAGACTTCCTGGAAAAAGCTTTAGACCTCCTGGAAAAAGCTTTGTACTTCCTTGAAGAAGCTCAACTGTTAAACAGAAATAATTAAGACATTGCAAATATTATTTGTTTTTATTCTTTTTGATATGATTTCACTAGTTGCCAGAAATCACTCTTAATAACTTATTTACTACATTCAGCCAGGGCAAAACATACTGGGCAAATGAAGGCAAGATATACAACGGCCAACACAAAAACATTTTCTGTTCCATATGCCCCATTTTAATCAAGGAAGGCAGATCAGAACTGCACTTGCATGATATTTTTATTTTGGGATTGCTCTTCTAAATTGACAATGAGAGAAAGATTGCTCCCCTGGATTTACCATCCATTCTTTTGGTGTTATTACTCTATACAAAAATCTATACCAAAAATGTTAATTCTCTTATTAGAATTAGGCAAATGGCCTTGGACCATGACAACTTAAATTTGCTGCACATCTAGTAGAGTCCAAATGAAAATTCAAGAAAATGGTTCACAGAACCTATAAACAATATCTTGGCCACATAAAGACAAAACAGTTGCTGGATGAAGGCCAAAACATTAGAAGCAAGAAAATGTTCATTCTCTTATTAGAATTAGGCAAATGGCCTTCGACCATGATAACTTTAATTGATGCACATCTAGTAGAGGCCAAATTAAAATTCAAGAAAATGGTTCACAAAACCTATAAACAATGTCTTGGCCACATAAAGAAAAAACTGTTGCTGGATGAAGGCCAAAACATAAGGAGCAAGAAGAAAATTCACTTGAAATCACAATCTTGTTGGATGAGCAGACTAAACATTTTTTGCTTGTCTAATATTTCTGCCGTGCTATTTGAAGACTTTCGAGCAGAAGTTGAATATCAAAGGCTATTCTGTAATAATTTTCTATCTGTAATAAAAACTTGAACAAATTAAAAAAGCACAAGACTCTGTTTGAAAACACAAGTCTAGCTTAGAAACAGATGCCTTTAATAATAGTTTTGGCTGATAAGGTAGAGTGGGCTAAAACATCTGTGCAACATAATTATGCTTAGCCCTATCACATCTGCCACACCAATGTCATCAGTTGTTTTAATCAGATAAGACAATTTCTTGGTTTAAGTCTGTCATTTCTAATCATCAGTTACATAGAAATGGTGGAAAAATCTATTGAAAAAATCCTTTAATTAAAACTGCATCTGATGGAAATATAGTATGTTGGTTCAAATTTTTACTCCTTCTTGTTTACACTTTGAGAATTTTGACAAAGAGGATTTTGACACCCTATTTCAATGCAAAGAACTACAGCAAAGCCAGGGTGGAATCCATGTGAAGCTTGCGCCAGACATACAGCAATAAACAATGGAAAACTGTTACATGGATTCATGGTTACAAGCTACATGGATTCCACACTGGCAACAGGGCTGGAAACAAGGATAAAGTCATCAAACTTGATCAAAATAACTGCCAAAGAAATATTGCACAGAGGGCTTTGCATAAGAAATCCATGGGTGTGGCATCACAGAATCATGGAAAATGATACTTGCTTATAAATAGTACAACTGATCAGCCAATCCTAAGCCTTTTTAGCACGACAAAATATCATCCTGATTCAATTTATACATAATAAACTTTTCTCCTAATCATGTTTTTCTTTGTAACTCAAGAAAATATTAGTTGTTCACACTTGAAAAGCTACATGTATTTAATGGTATCTACTGTACTTTCCTTATAACATATGTGGTTCTACAAGGCTGAAAAGACATTACCACCAAATGATTCCACTATTTTCAGTATGCCAGCCACCCTCGCACCTCTTGGCGGTTTTGGGTAAAATTTTGTTTTAATCAATACATCATACTGATGAAACCGGTCATTCTTCTCCCACAATTGAAAAAAGATGTCTTTGATATCCTGTAGGGTTTTGTAAACTTTTGGTCGCAGCATAAGTCATCCAGAGTGAAACTATAATTTCGTAACATTTATAAACTAGCACATTGGGTTTGAAAGTGAAACAAATATTTTGCTTCAATAGACATTAAATGAATAAACTTATTGCCAAAAAATATTTTTAGTTTGGTACCTGATAATGTCGTCTGTATGACCCAAGAAAAATCTTTGTCTCCTTTCTTTCGGACTGTAGACAACGCCAACACCAGCAACAAAGTACACCACATCGTTACTTTGGGTGTAAAAGAGATTGTTGCGGCATTGGTGGCCACGATAGCCATAAACCCATTCAAGGCGAAGCTGGCACGCAGGAGCTGTCTTATCGACCATGACCAAATCAAGATTTTAGTCAGAGCATTCAGGACGGTCTGCAACCTCTTCCTTCCCGCTTTCAAACAGCCTCCTTGAAAAAGGCGAGTGTAACCTGCCTCGCTACCATGTTACCAACAAACAATGCATTTTTAACAAGGGAAACGCCCATTTTTCAATATCCTTGAAGATACAGGTGTTAAAAACGAGATATTGTTACGGAATATCAATAAAGAAATATGTTTAGAAGATTGGCATCTTATTTTGCTCGAAAAAGACTGAAATGGAACAGGAAAGAATTGTATCTGGTCATTAAAGCTTCTAGCCAGCAGTTATAGGCTTAAAATCTTAGAAAAATTGAATGTGAAAATTCATCGAAGGATTTACACGTCCATTTAATAATTAATAACAGGTGAGCGGTAAATGTAGAGCTGGGAAAATTTTGCAAAGTGTGAAAAACATTTTTCTGAATCATTGTTGAAGCTGGCGATTTGTCATTAGTAATTCAAAAATACTAAATAAAAGTAACAATTTATTTTATCAAAAATTAATTTCTTCATAAAGTCCTTTCTTTAGATACCTCATGTCCATCCAGCCAGGATTAGGCTAAATTGGAAAGAAAAATGCAAACATCTACATACTATTCTAAATTATTTATTCACTGTACAACCAGTATTCGTTCACTGCTTTGCAGAGAGCTGTGAAAAGCTCAGCAAAACAAATTTTTGATGATTTCGAAATACATGCTCATATAGACTAGAATTATAAATAAAACGAAAAAGAAGAATTTTTTTCGGAGGTGAGGATCTTTTGCTTTGATCTTTTTTATTAATTGTAACAATATACGGAAAAGCCGCATCTTCAATTAGCTTTGCTTTATCAAATGCAAGTGTAAAGTTGAACTACAAAAGGGAACGGGGGATACAGTGGCGTGGTGGCAGGGGGGGCCAGGGGGGCCATGCTTGAATAGGGGCGCAAATGGAGTTAAGGGGGCGCCAAAATTGTTTGCTTGTAATATTTGGCTAGTAACATCAAAAGTGATCGTACACGGGTAGAACACTTCGCTATAACTTGCTGTGAACAATCTAAAATAACGCGAGATTCTATAATCGAAGCACGTTGCGCTGCCATGACCCAATCAACATTTGTTTCATATGTTTTCGTTTTAACTATGTACGTGGCTTCATGTTTAGCACGCCAACTAACGAAGATTTCACGTATGCCAAAAATGTTTTTATTAGTTCGTACTCGGAACGCCAAAAAAGCCTGAGTGAACGCCACAGATCTTCGGGCCTAAGTACATGGAATGCACCCTGGCAATCAATACAGCAGCTTCTTGTTATTAACATCGATGTGAACCAAAGGTCACCCTTTCTTTCTTTTTCCAACGCATGAACCCTCCCTTCCCAAATTTTTTAAAAAAAATAAAAAATCCATGTCTTTCTGAGCATCGTTGAACTGTCTATTCTGAGCGGTGTAGTGATTTGTTAAATTTTATTCTGGGAGATACATTTTTAGCCATTCTAGAGGGCTTGATTTCAAAAATTTTCTTCCGCGTCGGACCCAACCATGGTGGGTCCTCCTTTGTCACTAAACTTGATCCTTAGCCCAACCCCAGATTCAATTTTGTGGCCGCCACCTCTGTCAGATTCAATGGTGCGATTCAATGCTCGAAACTTTCAAGTTGTTGAAAAAACTACTATTTAATAACTACTAAAGAATAACAAACTTGAACCATGTTTGTATATCATACATCATATATGCGATTACACGCTTATAAGCCAATTCAAAATAGCTTGATATTTTACCGAACCACGATCGAGAAGGTCAAATGTTAGGATAACATAACTTTTCCATACATATTCGCATTTTTAGTCAAACTTTATTTATGAAATTTTGCATTCAAGTTGCAAAAATCGATTTCCCTTCTAGAAACACATGCTTTATATAACCACGATATTCTGTGACGATATATAGATAGGGCGCAAAAATCGACTTGGCCACCCCAGGGAAAACATAGCCACCCCGCCACTGGGGGGATATGTCCCCACTGTTCTCGGCAGAATCACACATTCAATTCAACTAAATCACTTTTTGGAAAGACGCTGTTCTAAATCTGATGGAAAAATGCTGGAAAGGGGCGATAGTAACTAAAAGCTCGTAATATGATCCTATGATGCAGCTTGGAACAGGGACGCCAGCACCCCTGGCTAGGAAATCTTGTTTGTTTAGCAAAAAACCATTCGTAAAATTACTATGTTAGGTCACAAAACAGCTTTACCCTCATTGTCGATTTCTGACTTTTGGTTAACCCTCATTGGTGAAGATTACCTTCCACCCTTTCAATTATTCGTTTTTCGGTAATTTTCTTCGAAAAGGATCATTCTTTTAAAACTCAATGCTTATGGTAAAAAAAACCGTAAATACTTACAACTACAACAAATGAGCAACGAAATTGCATCACCTTTTCGTAGTTCAATATAAGGGCCTTCCGGAACGAGAGTTTGCAGCAGGAAAATATAACTGCTTACCAAACTGTGTAATACAGCGAAACGCATTTAAAAGTGAAGGGGCAAAAATGTCAACATTGTAAAGACTCCCAACACGGTTAGAGGCAAGAAAACAGTACCGTCCGAAGTCCGAACGAAATTCATATTGCGAGGGGAGCTTTTCATTTTATTGCTTCACATTCATTGCACTGTTATAAAGGAAATATAGCACGGCTTGACAAGTACTGGGAGGCTGTAGCCTCCCATGGAACCCCTCCCCTTTTCTTAAAAAATGCTAGAAATATGGTATTCTGAAAAATGCTCATTTTTCTACTAAAGGCTAGAAACTGTATCTAAAGTAGAATTTGTCTGTATGAAAGTCCGAGGCAATATTTTCACGCTTTGTTTTATCATGATATTCCATTGCTGTATCAATTCTAAGTTCTAATATGATCAAATCTTTTGAAATCGAAGAACTCCCTCAACAAACAAGAAAGAATTCACCAATCATTTTGTAAAATCCGTTTGTAAAAATAATCTGGAATAAAGTGCTTCTCATTAAAAGAAACCTAGAGTTTCAAACTGGGCTGGTCTAAACAGTTTTTGATAGAATTTAACCTTACGTCTAGAAAGCAGATACCTCTCAAAAGTGTTCTCTACGCAAAACAGGATATTATGCTTTGCCCTCATTTGAATATCCCCTATCACAAACCATTGGTTTACATTATTATCATTAGCATTTCTGCTCTTTTTTGGCAGGACAGGATCAAAGATAAAACTGGGCTTTGAAAATTTCTTGACGGCACTTTAAAAGAATAAATCTACCGACTATTGTGTTTTTCGCATTCTCAAACATTTGCTTCTTAGCGGTTTCCATGCACTAATCAGCTGAAATTCCCTCTTTCTGTAACCTCTTTTTGGAAGTATTTCCGTTAACAAATGAACTTGTGATCCAGGTTTAGACCATAGAAAATCTCTGTCACAGCAATTTATTCTGGATCGGGTTTCTCGATTCAAATCCTGAGCCAAGCACGCATTCAAAAGACTTTACAATGGTTTATTGTTAGCAATCATTTTTGAAAAGCTGTTACTCATAAAGTGCAACGCATAACTTAGAAAATTCTTCAGTTTCTTTGATTGATATCCAATATTGTAGTCTCTTTATATCTTCTGTATATCATATCTCTTAAATAGTAAAGGCGTAGTAATGAAATCTAAGCTAAGGGCATATTTAAGCGAAAATTTAGTACAATAGCTAATAGAATGGTAAACTGTATACATAACTCCGTTTGCCTAAGAATGTTTACTTTGCTCTGTAGAAAAGAAGGGCATTCTATGTTAAAAAGTTAGTATGTTAGAAAGCCCTGTCTTTTATCTTTAGATGATTTACCAAGATGTCATTTTGACTGGGACGTCAAGATTAAGAAATGAACTTTCCAGATAACGCTACATGAATCATTTAGTAGTAATAAGGACTAGCACCTAGCACCGTCATTTATCTTTTTAAATATCTCGTGGAAATTGATATCTTCATAATGCTGAATATTGGATATTCGCGGACAGAGCAAATTCAGAAAGAGAACTAAGGCAGCTTTACACAGGGCCCGTCGGAACCGTTCCAAAAAGAACTGCTAGCCGTACCGAAATTTCACGCGTAAACGCAGCCTAAGCTGTCTTGTTGTCATATTTTCAATAGTGCCTACGTTGAGCCTTGGTGACCTTAAATTCACTTTTTCAAGCTCTCTGGAATGTATGAGATGAGGTAATTGGGGTTACTCTCAGTGTCCCTTTGAAACAAAATGTCGTGCTGTTTCTCATGTAATGTACGAAAGGAGGTTGCTGGTGTTAGTTGCTTCTGTGGTGTTTCCTCAGACAGAAAGTTTCCTTGAATTTAAGAAAATGAAAGCAACGACAAAAGGCTTGGCTTTTCCATAAATGGAACAGAAACATTGATTAAGTAATTGAAATATGATGCTCTATTTCCGCATAAATTTCTTTCTAATAAATCCATTTGGTGGCAACGATTCACTAAAATATGCTGATGCTGGTAACCACAATCTGGAAGGTTAATTCCATGTTCTATTGTACACTGAACCCGCTATTTGAGAATAGATCTTAAAGCAACCCAATGTTAAATACCATGTGTTGAGTTATGCATGCCTCCAGGTGAATGATCCCTGCTCGCTAAAAGAAGTATTAAAGATGTTCTCAAATTTTACCAAAAAAATTCAGAGAAGGTAGAGTCTTGAATTTCGGCACTTCTACGTACGAGGTGCGACTCTATTTAAATCTAACTGTTTTGCAGTGATAAAGTTTCCTTAAATGTGCAGTGATAAAGTTTCCTTAAAATTAGTCATGATCCGACATGTTATCCTGTCGGAAAATCGTAAGCATGAGCCCCCCCCCCCAAATGAAGGCCTCGAACAAACGCCCCCCTCAAATAATAGTCCCCCTTGAATAAGCGTCCATCCTAGAGGTGAAGTAATTGAATAAGCGCCCCCCTCGAATAAGCGTCCATCCCTCGAATAAGCGCCCATCCTTAAACCTTCAGAAACGGGCGCTTGCTCGAATTTTCAACGAAAACATAATTGGAAGGCAATTCAATAAAAAAGATTCATGAACAACAC